GTCCTTGCATTGAACCGATGGCCCAGTTGGCCAAGAATTTCTGTTTCTGGTGTGACCTCTGGGCCCCCTGAGTACTTATTTTTTATTTTGGCTTTTTGGGTCACACCTGGCGATGCACAGGGGTTACTCCTGGCTCTACACTCAGGAATTACTCCTAGCGGTAGCTCCCCCTGAGTACTTCTTTTTTATTTTTTATTTATTTTTTTGGCTTTTTGGGTCACACCTGGCCATGCATAGGGGTTACTCCTGGCAGTAGCTCCCCCTGAGTACTTCTTAAGAGCCCCCACTCCAAGTGATCTTCTCTGTGGCACATGGGAAATCAACTTAATTCTCTACAATCACTACTCATATACATATAATTCAACTTTCTTGTACAGGTTCTTAAAAAGCATAAATTCAGACTGGGTTCATGCCTCATCTAACTCAGTGAGCCATGTTCAATCCTCAGTAGTCTAGGGCCCCACAGGAACCACCAGAGATGACCCTGATCACTGAGTCATATACAGTCCATGAGCACTGTTGAGTATGGCCCCCAAACAAAACAAAACAAAACAAAACTAAACTTAAACGCACAAATTCATCTGAGGCTGCTTCTCTGATTACTTGATCTAGATCTGTAGTTGGAGTTAAAATATCAGCTCCCAAGTGGTGAACAATATTCTAATTATAAAGAGAGATTAAAAGTTAATTAGTTCCCTCCCAAGTACTAAGGCAACGGCCTAGGCATCCCCCTTATTTTGTCCTTTTGAGCTGAACTGGAATCTGAATACAAAGAGTTTCTGGGAATTTCATTAAATGTGAATAAATAAGCTGTATTATGAAGACTCTCCGGAAGTATGGCCACAAGATCCAGCTTTCCTGAACTGCTCCTTTCTTCTTAGTCACCTGGACTAAGATGGGAGAAAATTTCACCCTGTGCCAAACACAACTTTGATCATTTTTCAGTTCTTTCCCGATAGAGAAGCAGACAGTATGTCTGTCTATGCTTTCTGTTTATTATGCCAGTAGAGATGGAGTGCAATTTGGTGGTGTTGATTTTAAGTTTTAAAAGCTGTGATTTGGTGTTCTGGAAGATACCTCAGGGCTGGAATGCTTACTTTGCAGGAGGCATTGGTTCAGTCTATGGAACTGGTTCCACGTGGACCCCTGAGCACCACTGAGAACGGCCAGAAGTACCTTCTGAAATATGCTGGGTATGCACCTACCAAAAGTTGTAATTTGTTGTGCTGGAGAGAGAGAGTACAGTGGGTAGGGTGCTTGTCCTGCACTCAGCGGACCCAGGTTCGATCCCCAGCATCCCATATGGTCTCCAAAGCACTGCCAGTAGCATCGCTCCTAAGTATCTCCAAAACAACAAAAAAAATAAAGTCATTGATATTGAGGTCACTGTAGGTCAGCAGGGTTAAGAGCTAATACAAAGCTCCCCTGTAGCTGTGCTCACTTTGACATCATTTTGCCAAACTGTAGCACAATGTCCCAAGCGAGAAAGTACATGTACACACTCTGCTGATCTCATGCAGGGAGGCCGTTATCCCTCCTCCTCCGGGTGATTTTCTCTCATTCCTATACGTTGTTCTTTTTATATACACGATTGCATGTGCCTGAGCCTATCTTTAGCTCAGTATTACCTCTCAGGAGCCTCTCCTGCAGAAGTTGTTGCATAAATGCACAAAGTCATTTGTACAAAAATGTAGTAGGTTTCTTTTTCCAGCAATAAAGAGATATAAAACGAGTTTCGGGTATTACCAGGCGGAAAAGTAATACTTTTGTTGCAAGATGAAATTCCCCACAGCCACTGAAAAAGGAGGCTAGTTCAGTTGGAAAGATCTGGAACATGCAATGTTACATGGTGTGAATAAAGAACTGAATGTAACTAAAGTAGAAACATCTGAAATGCTACACAGTAGTGAATAAAGTAACAAATGTCCTGGAGCTATATTTGTGAAAAGTTGATGTGAAATGCAAAGCCCAAAATTCTAAAAGAATGATTTATGTGGATTGGTATAGAGTAAGATAAATGTGGACACATGTGCATGTAGGGAAATGCATTTTAAAACACTCATTTCACACTGTATGACTGAAACCTAATCATGAACAGCTTTGTAAGGGTCGATAAAAACGTTGATCACAGTAATTCAATAAAAAAAAGTTTTAAAATAAAAAAACCCACTCATTTCTTAAAGGCCCATAAATGGAAAGTTATGAGGCTAATATTTGGCCTTAAAAAATCAGTAATCATTTTTGCTATTCCTGAGCTTGCAGGTACTTGAGAATTGCATAAAAGATTTGAAGACAAAACTTAAAAGTTTATTATGTTAAGAGTTGACTGTACAGTTCAAGTAGACTTGTACAGTTCAAGGACTGGCTTCCTCCTCAATGTCTGAGCCTGTCATTTTTCTTTTTTTTTTAAAATATCAACATTTAATATTTTATGAACATTGATATATAGTTATTTATTGTTCAATACCAAATGATTTAAGTACAGAAGAATCTTCTAGAATGAAATTAGGTGATTTTCATTTTTATTTATTTTTTATTAGCACAGCGGTAGGGCGTTTGCCTTGCACACAGCCAACATGGCCGACCCAAGTTCGATTCCTCTGCCCCTCTCGGAGAGCCCGGCAAGCTACCGAGAGTATCTCGCCCGCACGGCAGAGCCTGGCAAGCTCCCCGTGACGTATTCAATATGCCAGACACAGTAACAACAAAGTCTCCAATGGAGACGTTACTGGGCCCGCTCGAGCAAATCGATGATCAACGGGAGGGCCTTTACTTTACTTTTATTATTTTTTAATTTTTAAATTTTTTTGTTAGTGAAATTTTTATTAGTGAGACACCATGAGATATAGTTGTAGACTTACAAAGTTTGTGCTTGGGTTTCAATTATACAATGATCAAATATCCAGCCCTCCACCAGTGCCCATTTCCCACCACCACGGATACCAGTATCCCTCCCACCCCCCATCCCCCCATCCCACCCTGCCTCTGTGGCAGGGCATTCCCTTTTGGTCTCTCTCTTCTTTTGGGTGCTGTGGTTTGCAAAGGAGACATTGAGTGGCAGTCATGTGTGGTCTATAGTCTACTTTCAGCATGCTTCTCCCATCCTGGGAGGATCCTCCCAACACCCTTTATTTGGTGCTCCCTTCTCTATCTGAGCTGCCTTTCCCCCTAGTATGTCATTTTTCATGTGTATGATGTCACTAGTCCTGTCTCTTATGCACGCGGTCCAGTGTGAAAAGTCCTAAGTCCTGTCCCTCATGGTCTGCTCGCCTGCAATGTATGACAACTCTGTCTTGTCCCTCTGCTGTTTTCTGTCCAGTATAAGCTGGATCCCTGTCACCTGTGTTCCCTTGCTGCGGCTTGATGCTATGTAACCTGTCACTGGGCCTCTTTAAGGCTGTATCCCAGTGGTTCCTTGACATCCGGGGTGGTCTCCAGCTCTGGTCATGTGCCTGTGGGTGAGACCTGGGTCTCTCCTGCCATCTCTCTGGAAGGAGATGACGGGATGAAAAGAGAGACAGACATTGCCTGACTGGGAGCTTCCTTTCATCCGCTGTTCTCTCCCACCCCCTCCATGCCATTATCCACTGACTGGCCACCTTTTCATGGAGGGACTGCAATTTAAAATGATCATATAAATGAGCTAGTTCACCTGGGCTCCACCTTCACTCAACTGCACCAGTTTCACAGCCCGATTCATTTGAGATTCAGAGCCTGTTGGCAGAGGAAGAGAGAAGCCATGACATTTGAAAAGACCCATGTACGAAACCCCAACTGTTCTGGAAAGGCAACCAACAGAGGTCTTCACAAAATAAAACGTTTTTTGTTGGGGGGTGGTGGTGGGGAGGATTACACCTTCAGTGCCGGGGAGGCTCAGGGATGCTCAAAGTTGCAGGATGGCTCCTGAATCCAAGGAAGTGCTCCAGCCCATCGAGTCATCTCTGTGGCCCCAAAGTCAACTTTTACTTTTTTGGCAACACCCAGTGGTGCCTATGGCTTTACTCCTGGCTCTGTGCTCAGGAATCTCTCCCGGCGGTGCTTGGGAGACCTATGTGGTACTAGGATCGAATGCTGGTCAGTCCTGTGCAAGGCAAGTGCCCTATCTGCTACACTCTCTCTCTGGACCAATATAAAACTTAGTTTTTTTTTTTTTTATAAATATAGTAAACCGTTATAAGAAGCATGGCAAATCTCTTCCAGGTCCTCATGCTGTACAGCATCTCCCTGTTCCTGCAACAGCAGCTTTCAGTCATTTTCTTTACAAGTGAAAATGGAGCGTGTGGATGAACAGCAGGACTTTCCCCCCGAAATCCTTGCCTTGCAGTGGCCAGGAGAAAGCAGAAGTGTTTTCCCATCTTGCAGGACTGTAACATATAGGCACATTAGAAACTCCCAGAAAAAAAAAATTGAAACCACATGTGCAGATGGCCAGGGCGCTCTCCGCACGCTGTGCAGGCAGCTCAGCAGGGCTGAAACAAACCCAGCTCAGCAGCAAACAAAAAGCAAACAGACCACCTCGGTGTAGCAGGGGCTCTCCTCACCACGCCTCCCCACACGTCCTCCCCCCACCCCTTCCCTGTGCTCTCCCAAAGTTACAAACCTTAAATTTCCTTCCTGATAAACCCCAAGGCTTCCTCGCTGATTGGTCTCTGGTGGGGAAAGGACGTGACATCAGCAACTTTGCAGACTTAGGCTGGGGGAGAGCTCTCCTGGGCTTTGGAGGACTTCCAGCCTGCGGGGTAAGCGAGAGGGCGTGTGTGTCGGTGCCGGTGCCTTCGTGGCCAGGCTGGGAGTCTCTGCTACGCGTGTGAGACCTCAGGTAGGACTCAGATTTCCCTGTCCCTTCCCTTCTCTGCTGCAGGCAGCCGTCCTCTGCTGGCTGACCAGGTCTGCCTGGAATTTCCCGGGAGCAGGGGACATCGAATTTGGACTTTGCTGAACAACTCCAGTGGAGCAGCATGGATAGCCAGCGCGGGAGGAGAGCGAGAGGAGGGCGAGGCCGAGGCCGAGAGGAAAGGGAGCTGCATACTCCCCTGACCCTAGCGCATGTCCGGGTCCCCAGAGTCCTGTACAACCCGCGCATGGGGGGTAAGTCCCAGGGTTTGGGGGGGAGGGGGCTGTGAGATGCGGGGAGGGGAGTGAGGAGTGGGGTGACTTCAGTGGATCAGAGATGGGGACCAGGGCTTGCTGGTTATCCTCTCCCGCCTTATGATGCCTGTGTCTGCACAGCAAGGTCCCCTCCCAGGCCCCCAGCCCAGCCCCCACCCCAGGGCCTGGCCCCTTCGATTCTGTCGTGAAAACTTTCTTTCCTACAGGGGTTGTTTGTGGATAATGCTTGTTTGTGGGTGGAGCATCTCCTTCTGAGATCCTGGAAGGCTTGGAAAGTTGCTTCTACATTAGGACGTTTTGCTGCTGAAACATTTATTCAGCTTTTAGGTGGGGCTGGAGTTGTAAATGGTGCCTGACATCAGAGATTGATTCGCTGCAAAGAGCGGCGGCACAGCAATGACAGCAAAAAAACACGAGCAAAGTGGTTTGCAGGTGTGCCTGTCAGCAGGCCTTCTGGCCACTGCACAGAGGCGTAGCTGTGGCACATTCAACAGGTGGTTCCTGACAGAGAGCTTCCAAATGGGATGCCCGGGTGCGAGCAGAGAGCCGATGCACTCAGCACCCGCAAGGTTGAATGGACAGAGGGCACGGAGCGAGGGCGAACAGGCAGGCAGGACTTGATGGTGTCCAGCAGTGCCGTCTGGGTACGGAACGGGGGCGGGGAGTGGTGTGGAAGCAGAAGAAACGTAGTGGGAACTGCCTTTGCTCTGAGCATCAGAGCAGACGAGCTCGCTCATTCATTTCTTCATCCAGTTTTACCCCACACATGGGCAGCTTGATGGTGGAGAATGTAGCAAAAGCAGTTCTTGATTTCATGAATGGATTTATTTCACAGTGAAATAAATGATGAGATCAGCTTAATAAATGGACTCATTTTAAATAGGGATGATGAAACACATGTAATCTGTCAGGAAATCATTGAATATTATTCGGAAATAAACTCAAGTAATTATTTTCCGTTTAAATGAAATCACAAGTATCAACTCGATAATGAAATATTTAAGTGTAAATGACAATTCTGTAATTAAGAATTCAATATTCAAATGGCAGTGTGATTAGAAAATCACTGTGATCAAGATTCAGGGTGGCACGGAGTATCCACTCAGTGCGGACGGAGGATTCAGAGTGGCGCCAACATCCAATTTAAACAGTGAACTGGAGTGTATTTTTGAAAGCAGGAAAGAATCGGTGATTGGGTTGACTTGCGCGGGATTGTTTCCCAGCTAAGTATTATATTTGCTTTTGTTTCCACGTGAGCAAGGGGTGCTAGTCACTTTTCACTGCTGGGGGTTTCTGGAAGAGCCTCCTTCCAACCCTGGCCGGAGCTGAAGGGTGGAAGGGTTGGGAGGGAGGGGGTGGGGGTGTTCATGTGTGTGTGTGGGGGAACGTAACCTCGAGGGAGGACGCTTCAAAGTGAGCATGCACAGTGTCACAGCTAGAATGCAGTGGCTCAGGGGGTCTTTTTGAGAATGAGTTTGGAGAGATGGAACCTGGGAACGAAGCAGGAAAAGTGAGGTGGATGAGGTTGGTTTGTAAGGGGATCAGGATGATGGCCCCGAGCAGACAACTGCCCTGATGAAGATGCTAGGGAAACTGTTCGGGGATGGATTGTGGGATGACAGCGAGGGCTTGCGCTGAGCCACTGGTGCTCAAACTCTCAGATGCCACGGGCACCGTTGGGTGGAAATGCAGGTGGCCGGGCTATCGCCCAGAGTGTCAGATGAGTTTAGGGTCAGGGTGAGACCTGGGAGTCTGCAGAGCTCGCCAGGTCACTGGGACTTCACTCTGAGAATTACGTCACTAATCCAAACACCATGCCGGTACTTGGGCTGAACTTTGACAGAGAAAGGGCAAGTGATCAAAGGGAAGAGAAAACGGGCTGTACTGCGGGATTAGTTTTGGAACTGAAGGAGCTAAGGCAGCCAGCGCTGTCACGGTGTTTGAGTCCGTGTTGACATCAGATAAGAGAGAAGGGGAGATGGCTGGGGAACTGTGTGGAGGGGAAGATGAGGAGTTTGGATGTGGATGTAAAAGTCCGGGGGCTCAAAGCTCAGCGTGATGGCGTGGGCCCTGGGCTAGGAAGCGGGTGCAGGTTTGCTCTGCTGAAATTCTGGGGAAGAGAAAGTGGCTGTAGCTGGAACAAGTCTCCATTTTGGGGACTAAGGGAAGAAAAGGTTCCAAAGGTTCCAAATGGCGCAGAGGTGCCTCACATTCTGATGTCAAGACACCTCTGCGTTTTTTCTTCTTTCTCCTAATCTGAGTGGCAATCTCCTACTCATCTTCTCCCCCCGCCACCCCGTACCCAGCTGAACCACAACTTCCAGGAAGCCCTCCTAGATTTTTCTCGTCTTGCCTTACTTTGCCTCTGTGAGCAGAACCTCAATGAGAGCCGAGTTCCATTTGTTTATGTTTCTGGAGTCTTGACCTTGGTGAAGTGTGGAATGTGAAATGCTCAGCGTGTTGTTTCTAAATGGCTGGGCCAGCCCAGGCGAAGCGTATCTCCCTGCACAGGCCCAGGTTAGAGGGAAATAGGGCTCGGGTGTCTGGGCTTTGTCTAAAGGCAGTTTTGTGCCTTTACCTCCACTTGGGGGCTTTTCTCTTTTCACATCATTGGAGGCAGGAAGGAAAGGAAACGAGGATGGCAACCAGATCTTTACAGAGATTTGTTTATGGCTTGACTGCGCTGCCCCAGGACAGGAAAGGGCTGTCTTTCCCCCTGCACATGCCATGTCATGGGTTGAAGAGTGTGCTCACTCCCAAATCTATGTGGAGGTGATAACTCGGAGCACCACAGGACATTCTTGGAAATTGGGCTGCTGGTCACAGATGGTGAGAGTCTTCCCTAGGGCTGGTTGCCATGTGCTGACTAGCTGTATCCCTGTAAACAGAGACAGAAGCTTTTCAGGAGGCCCCAGATTTGATGCTGGCACTGCATGGTCCCTGGAGCATGCTGGGAATCATCCCTGAGTGCTAACATAGGGAGTGGTCCCTAAACCACGTATCCATAGCAACGACAGCAGCAGACAGAAGCCGGACAGGAGGCCCGGGCAGCCAGCATACACGTCACATGTGAGGGACCCTGAGCATTGGCTGGAGGCCTGGTGACCCCCTGAGCCTAACCCTCAGCACTGCTGCACGTGCCCTGCCCCCTTCAGATTTTCCAGGCGTGACTCCCACAATAATCAAAAACTAGAGGAGACAAGGGAGGTAGGAGGTGGGGGTGATGAATCTTATATGCCACAAACTTATGACTCTGGGCGGCCACTTGCCAGAAGGGGCCTCCGCTGGAGGCTTCCGATGTATGTGTGTGTATGTGTGTGTGTGTGGGGGGGGGGATCAGGCCCAACAGTGCTCTGAGGTGCTTGGTGCTACTACTGGCTGAAAGGAAGGGCATGGGGATAGGGATTGAACCCGGGGCCTTCACATGCAAAGCAGGCACCAAGGCAGGTGCTTTGGGCTCTATCTCTTGTCCCTTCCCTGAAGACTGCTTTAGGGGATTTGGGGTCTGCGCTTGGCAGTGCTCAAGGTTTAAACTCCTGGCTCTCTGCGCAGGGGCCACTCTATCAGTGCTGGGATATTTTCATACCTGCTATTCTTCTGGCCCATTCTCTAAGGACTTTGGGGAGGCTGAAGGCAGACCCGCAGTCTTCAGATCATGGAACCAATGGCTTCCTGGTGTTTGAAGATGCCCCCATAACCTTCCCCCTCATAGGTAGGTCATGCTTTAGCTTCAAGGTTAAAGAAATTGTGTCCATGCTCAGATGCTTTGGCAAGTGTGTGGAAGGAGCAACAAGTTCCCACCTCTATCTCACTTGCTACACCTCTATCTCACTTGCTAGGCCCAGATTTCACTTGCTACAAACTTTTGTTGCTTCTTCTTTGTTTTTTTTTTCTTTTTGGGTCACACCCAGCGATGCACAGGGATTACTCCTGGCTCTGCATTCAGGAATTACTCCTGGCAGTGCTTGGGGGACCATATGGGCTGCTGGGAATCGAACCCAGGTTGGCTGCGTGCAAGGCAAACGCCCTACCCACTGTACTATCACTCCAGCCCCGAGGTCTGGCCTTCTTTCTACTCACCTACACCCTGAGAAAATTTTCTCACTCTCTGACACCCTGACCGAGTTTTTAGCTGTAAGGAGTCGGGAAAAGAAAGGACTTCATTCATTCTAGGCACACTCAGATACACCCGTGCCCTGGCAACTGAGTGGTCCTGTATTGTCGGGATGGGACACCGACAAAACGGGTCATGTTATGTTCCTCCGTGAACTGTCTCATCCAGATAGGTAGGAGGAGGGGAGATGAGGAGAAGAGACACTTCACTGGGACCAGATGCGCTTGCCCAAGCGTTGTTTCAGTCTTCAGGCCTGAGACTCATTTTCTGTTTGCCTGATTCTGGTCCCGGCTGTCTCTTTTTGACTTTCGGCCTGGAATCCAACCCACCTCCTGTCTGCTTGTAAACCCAGTGCTCGGGGCCTCTCCTGTGTCATGCTATCCTGAGCCTTAGAATGCACCCCAGGACTCAAGGGCCAGTGACTCCTGCCCGTTGGAGCAAACCAACTGCTCTTTTGTCCACCTGACCTGCCAAACCATCACCCAAGACAGCTCTGTTAATGCTCCCACCCACGTTGACTGGAGCGCTCCCATCTTCCTTAACAGCCCCTTGCAGAGTGTATCCAACGACCGTGCTTTCAAATCTCTTCCGAAATAATGGAAGTGGAAGAAATATCCAGCCCAGAAATTGCTATCCAAATGAAACGGCCGCCTTCCTCATGTGCTGCCGTGGCTGATGGAGACTCAGTTTGGTAAGGGAGTGAGGGGAGCCGGACCAATTGGGCGCTTAGCTCGGACACTCTGGCCCCGTTTAACCAAGAGTGACAGTGTGGCAGCAGTGCCACAGCTGGCCACACCATTCCCCGCCTTCTTTGGAGCAGCCAAAGCAATAGCTGCCATGGGAACGAGTCTTGGGAAGAATCCTC